AAAATTTGGAAAGGTGAATATTTTTATTTATGCACATTTATATACATACATACATATATATATATATATTGAATATACTTTTATGTATATTAATGAATCAAATTATTATATAAAATGGTGATATCGGTTGTTATTTTTGATAAATTTTACAAGAACATGTATATTTACAACGTGGTATAAGAAAATTATAAGAAATTGTACATATATACGTAAGAAAATGTAACTTAGTAGTAATAATTATACATAAAATACAAAATAGGCTTCATATACATACAAAAACGTCTCAGGCTACTATAACTATATATTAACAAACTACCCGAAAAACAACCATAAATTTATAATCTATGTTTATAATCTAAATTTTGAAGTGTAATTTTATATATATGATACCAATTACTTCTTTTTGATCAAATGTAGACAGATATAGAAATGTTAAGTCAAAATAAAAATAAACGTCCTAAATTTTTTTACGTCCCGTAAATGTAAACTCTATATCTTTTAACAAAATTATTATAACTTCATAAATTTCTAACCTATGTTTATTAAATATTTCATTCCGTCCAAGGCACGGGTTATCCCGAAACAACCAATCTAAAACAAACTAATATGCAAATAAAACAGATATAATATCTTCTTATCTTCAAAAATACAACAAATTTAATCATCTCATTCCGCGCAAGGCGCGGATCTAATCCTTGTTCTCTCATATTAGAGCATCATTATTCAAGGTGCTTAAAAGAAAGTGCTTAACCAAAATTTAGTATAATAAAGAGTGGGCGTCACATAAATCTAAAGCACCATTGCTTTTGGAGCTTAATTAAACATCGGTGTTCGCATGATGCTTCTTCTGATACATGGCGATCCGCAATTAGTTTGTTTATTAAATTTTCTTTTTATTTAATCAGAAAAAAAAACTATATAAAAAAAATTTAAGCACCCATTAGAAATAATGATGCTCTTATCTTTGTGCACCATTCAACTCTATATCGCAGTCTTCCTAGGCCAGCGTCTCTCTACTTGAGCAACCCAGATCCGGAGGCTTTTGGTATATTTTCGAAGTTAAGTGAAAATGGGTTTGGAGTATGATTTTTAACTAAACTACCAGTGTTGAAAATTAAGACATCTCACATGTTTCTGGAATTAGCATTGTTTCCTCTTTCCAGCAAACCTTCATATTGTCGAACAATATCAATTTCAAGATAGTTCTCAAGGAAGCTACACGATGACTGATGCTGTCATGTTAATGTCATTTAATAAAAGCTACACTGGAGGGAGATTATACGGAAAACAGTGTGCATATTTGCCTCATAAACCAAGATAATCCAGAGTCAATTGCGCTTGCATAAGACAAGACAAGACAAAAACAAAAGAACACCAACTTCAAGATGTAATCATCGGCTCAGGATCTGACGGGTCGCTGGGAGTTTTGTCGGACTGACGTGCTGAGTTGAACAATATGTCTTTGATAACCTGCACATTGATGAATCAAAAGACTTGGGAGTCTATCTCATGGATTTTCATGAACCAAAATAGAATTAATAGTATCAGTATGCCAGAATATGTCTACTCACCTGTGACATTAATCCATGGACCTGCTCCACAGTTATCTTTGCGCTATCCCGAGTTATCTTGGCGAGTGGAGGCTCATCCTGTAAAGTGATCCACAACACACAGTTAGGGCTCCCAAAACAGAACTCTAAGACTAAACACAGACTATTATTGGCAACAACTAGTTGACGAATAGAGACATCTAACTCAAACCAGATTTTCTACGTGGTCAAACTTCAACAACTCAGTATATATTGACTAAATAATCACGCAATTACGAGATTCTATACCCAGAAACGTTGAACCATAATGATGTGCAGGTAGAGTTTCTTTAAGACTATTAGTTTATATATCTAAGTATCACGCAAAATAAACAACGTATGCAAATCCTGATAGGCTGATAATGTTAAAATTCTGATAAGAAAAAAGCTTGGCAAGTGGCATGTTGAAGAGCTCAAGTTCATCGCTTATAATCACAGACAGTCAAGATACACTGAGAACATAAAGCCCCTATTTAGACAAACCTCTTTCTTCCTGTGAAGACTGGCCGGTACTCCTCCAAAACGGGAGTGCGCCAGCTGACTCTCGGCTTGCTCAAGCTTCTCAGCTTCATTGGTTAAAGGAATACAGTGATAAGAAAAAGAGAGCAAAAAAATATTAAAAACTACCTCATAAAAAAAGGTTAAAAAATGAACTTGCTCTTGCATATCCAAGAATTATTTACCCAAGTCTGATATCTGTCCAGCAACATAGTCTCCATTGCCCAAAAGTGGGGAAGAAGAAAGAGTGTTCACCCAGTACTTGTTCCAAAGGAGATCCAGAAGGTGGCTATCAAGAGATGACTTGAAGTAAGTGATGTCCAACGAATAGTACTATCACATATCCAAAAAAAAATCAGACATAAGAAACGCCTCAAAGAATAAAGAAAAGCAATAATATGAACAAGAACCTACCTGTTTGCAATGAACACCAAAGTCCTCAATCTTGTTCAAAGGGATAGTCTGATACTCAGAAACATGATCATCAGAAATCTTATGCCCCTCCGGATAAGTCCTGAAGGCCCCAATCTCAACCTTACCAGCAGAAACAGTCCTCGTCGGATCAATAACAACAGCCAAGAAAGGCTCCTGATACTGTTGGTTAAGCATCTGCGTCGAGACATCAATACCCGAGAGCCAGCATCCATACCCAGGGTGAGAGTGATACCATCCCACAACATTCTCCAACCTCCCCGCCTATATTTCAATAAACATCAATAACCAATCAAACCCTAGAGCAAAAAGAAAAGACAGCAACTTTAAGCGTACAAGGATGAGGGCATCTCTAAAACCCTATAATACAACAAACAAACCCAGTAGCAATCTAACCTTAAACATCAATAACCAAACAAACCCTAGAATACACACTCAGCAAAAAAAAGACAGCGACTTTAAGCGTTCAACGATGAGGGCATCTCCAAAACCCTAGAAAACAACAAACCCAGTAGCAATCTAACCAAAAGAAGGAAGCTTTGGACGAGTTAAATAAAAGGAGCAAAAATTACCAGCTTGTTGGTCTGAGAGTACTCAACCATATACTCATAAGCATCAGCCTGGGCATTAACCCTAGTCTCAGTGCCTTCAACAGGCAAGGCGAAAGCGTCCATAACGATGATGGTATCGCCATCGGTCTTCCCCTGCATAAGACCCATGATCTCGATCGTGCCGCCGGAGCGCGCGTGGACAACCATCTTGAGGAGCGCGAGGGCGGAGATTTGGACGCGCTTGAAGTAGTTGGGATCGGTGGCCCATGGCTTCTCCTGCTGGATTTTGGTCTGGGAAGCTTCGTCGTAGTAGAAGATGCCGTCCGAGGAGGAGGATGAATCGGGTTGCTCCACCGTTAGGATGTTGTTCTCCAGCTCCCATGTCTTGCGAGCGATGGTTGATGGATCATCCATTCTTGGTTGTTGATCAATCGCAGAGAATCGATGTTAGGGTTTTTGGAGTAACGAAAGAAGAAGGGACAAGGAGCGATCAAATAGAGAGCCTTGAATCGATGAGTTTATGAAGAAAGATTTGGGCTTTTCTGGGTTTAGGAATTTGTACCTCTTTATATTATTATAGGGATGGGCGGCCCGGCCCATATATGAAGTAATGTTAAACCTATTTATTTATTCTATTTTTATTTTACTTTTAAATTTCATACCCTTTGAGATACAGTTTTGGATATTTAGAGCACCCCCATCAGTGAACTTCATGATGGGGGTTCATAACTTTTTTTTTTATTTTTTTTTTTATATTTTTTGACTTTTCCAAAAAAAAAAAAAAAAAAATTGGGCCAATCATAGCCCGACACGTGGCGAACCCGTGACGAACCGGGTTCACCACGACGAACCCACGCGCTCCGAGTTCATCACTATTCCTCTCGAAAAACGTGTGAACCTCCCTTAAAAACCCCTAATGGGCATGCTCTTAGCTTTGGGAGTTAAGTATCTTAACCTATATAGAATAGTTAAGTTGACAAATAAAAAATCAGAATAAATTCTCTACTATCTAGTAGGCCTGGACATTTTAACCTAGACCCGAGGACACGGCCCAGAACCAACCCGAAATCGCAGGTTTGAGTACAGGTCCGGGTATATTGAAATTAACCTGTTGGATATTTTTTTTGTAGACCCGTGGGTACAGGTTCGGATCCGGATAAGATCCGCTACCGTCGGGTATTAGTTTAACCTGCAAAGAAACTGCTCTATACAACGGGATCGATCGATCCCAGAAAGAGTTGGTCGATCCCAACGGTCGATCTCGATGATTAAACAAAAACATAAAAAAATACGGAGCAGAAACTGATCGACATTTGTCCAGTTCAGTCGATCTTCACCGATCAATCTATTGATAGATCAATCTCTATTTTAGATCGATTGATCCCGATCCCAGATAATTCTTCCAATATTTTTGAGCATGTTTAATATAGAATTGCAGGTTCAAATTTCGGGTAGCAGGTTAAATTTTACCCAAATTACTACAAACCGACCCGAAAATAATAGAACCGAACGGAAAATAACCAAAAATTTGGAACTGAACCTTTAATACCCGAAATTTACAGGTTTTTAATAGGTTTTCAAAATTAAGATCCGAACCGACCCGGACCCGACAAGATCCGGACCCGACAAGACCCGACCCGAAACCGACCCAAAAAATTATAAGAACCTGTATGGATCTAAATCTCCAAGACCCGAAGGACCCGGACCCGACCCGAATCCGACCCGAGAACCCGGATTCCCAGGCCTACTATCTAGATAAAACCATTTGTGTTATGTTAAGGAACTAATCCATATATATATATATAAGCATGAAATGATATCTCACATTCAAACAAGTATCAGTTTTCACTAACTAAACATAGAAATATACAAGACAAGACAAACATTTTTTAGTCTTGTTTTGTTTGGTGTCTACTCACATCTTATCTTTCTCTTATTGTTTGCTACTATTGTATCACCTTGCACATTTTAATCAAACCAGTGTTATAAAAGACAAACATTTTTTAGTAAATTCACTAACACAAGAACAATAATTGAAGAGCCAGGAACGATTTTGGAACATGTGAGGACTTTGACTAACTAATATAAGATCGATTATATAGCTTAAATTTATATTTGTTGTCACACAGTTCATTAGATAAAGTACAATAAAACAAAGTAAAGTACAAGATTGTGTGATAAACTGTTTACACATGATTTAGCAGGACAGAACATAGGGTTGAGAAAGTGAAAACATTCTTACTACTTTTGTCAATATGACAGTCTTTTTGGCTAGTTTCTCTCGTAATGGCTCGACTACTCCCTTTTGAGTTGTATGTGTGTGGCGTTGCGTAAGATTTAGTATTTGACACAAGTCTACAAAGTAAATGGGGGCTATTACCAGTATTCATTTTAGGTTTATCAACTTACATATATATATATGCCTAGAAACTATTGATACTTCTTTTAACTTCTACATGAACTAGACGAAATTAATCCATAGATTCTATAAAGATTAGTCTACAAAAGTCATCGAAACTGAAGCGTTACGATCTCTATACCACGTGCCTCCAATCAAAGAAAGAGACCAATGTGTTACTCAAAGGCTCAACGCTCGAATCTTTAGGTAGAACCAATTGGTGGAATAACCTTCAAAGCCAAGTTGCCAATCAATAATCCTCATTCTTCTTATTCAGAGATATGATTCGAGTTTTTGGTTGTGTTCCTCTTCATAAATCGTGTGAATGATATTAGATCAGATGTCCAGATCATGTATAAATTTTCTAAACATTTATAAGTCTCTATATATATATACTTGTAATAAATTAATCGAATAGGACCACCTTACTAATTTCCTTTGTCAACATTAGAGATTACGACTTATGAGTCATGACTATAATATCCACCTTAATTATAAGTAAGTTATCATCTCAATCTCAAACTTCCTTTAGGTCTTGTACATTTTCATGGTAGTGCTGATTAAAAATGACGTAGATTAATCTTTTATAAAGCAACTGCCAGTTATTTTTAATACTAGACTTGATTTATCAGAGGAAATTAATAGAACAATATATTTGTTCATATATACGATACGACCGATATATTACTACTATAATAACATGTTAAGTCTTATAAAATAAATAACGATCTACATGAAAGATGAACGTTACGTAAATGGCAAATATGGCATGTTATTGCTAACTTGCAGTTATATCATGCTTTCCTCCACACTCTAACCTTTTCTAAAACATATAACCTTCTTGTCGTAAACGAAAGAACGAATGGAACTTGATCCACGTCGATGTTATCTCAATCTGATTAGCTGTCGATTATTTACATTTTTTAATTTATTTTATTGCCACTTAAAGATCATGTGAGAATGTGGGGTAAAAAATAATACTACTATTTATATTCCTAATCTTTTGTAACTATTATACTACCGCATAGTCGCATATTGATTAGAAGCTATAAGAAGTAATCAAATCATTTCGAGAAGTAGGTGGCGTCTACAACAAAAGGGTATTATCGTCTTTCCAAAGAAAATTAAACACGGTTAGGTTTCTACGCTGACGTGTCGAGTTTTGAGATAACCTTTGAATGACAAAACAAACTACGCTTTAATAGTTTCGATCCACAAGGCATCGCTTTGTGACCAAACAGACTTTTGTTTCTCCTTTTTCTTTTTAAATTAAAACAAAAAAAAAACCGAATCTCTTTATTTTTGGTAAGAAGAAACACAAAGCAACTCAAATTCTTCGCTGAAATTCACTTTTTCGTTGTTGTTGAAAATCCATTGGTTTGGTGATTGAGATCGGTCACTGATGGAGAAAGATCGAGGAGAAGCGATCGCTATGGAAATCACGACGGAGAATCCACCGGCGACGGTGATTAGAGTTCCTCGGAGGATTCGTGAGAGGCTTTTGCCTGAATCAAGTAACAAGAAGACAGTACCTTCTGTTCAAGATATCGAAGAGAAGCTTCTTCACGCTCATCTTAGAAGACAGGTTTTGTTTTCTTCTTACCCGATTAAGTTAAACGACCAAAGTCTTTTTTTGATTCTGTCTGATTTCTAAATTTAAATTTTGTCTTTTTTTTTTCGTTTGGAATCTATAAGCAATTCTATCACAACGTTGTGAGAAAGGCTCGTGCGAAGCCTAGAAGCCCATCACGATCTTGTGATGAAGAGCTTGGCCAACGAATCGAAGCGAGACTCCTTGCCGCTGAACAGAAACGGTAAAGTTAAAAGTCTTTCACTTGATGTCTCTGTCTCTGTCTCTCTTTGATTGTGTGTTTTTATTAATATTACAGATTAGAGATTCTTGCAAAAGCGCAGACGCGTCTAGCGAGACTAGACGAGTTAAGACAAGCAGCGAAGACAAGCGTGGAGATTCGTTCGGAGAGGGAACGTGTGAAGCTTGGGACTCAAGTAGAGTCTCGTGTCCAAAAGGCTGAAGCCAATAGGATGAGGATTCTAAAGGCTTCCCATCAGAAACGGGCGTCTGCTAAAGAGAGGACGTCACAGTCGATGATGAGGAGGATGGCGAGAGAGAGCAAGTATAAAGAGAGAGTTCGTGCTTCGATCAATCAGAAACGTGTAGCTGCTGAGAAGAAACGGCTGGGATTGCTTGAAGCTGAGAAGAAGAAAGCACGTGCTCGTGTCCAGCAAGTGCGCCACGTTGCCAACTCTGTTTCTAATCAGCGTGAGATGGAGAGAAGTAAAATGAGGGACAAACTTGAAGACAAGTTGCAGAGGGTAATAACCTTTTATATATATATATATATATGTGCACACACTTCCTTTTTTTGTTTCTATTATTGTGTTTTATATATTATGTTTGATAATTCAGGCAAAGAGACATAGATCAGAGTTTCTTCGTCAGAGAAGAAGACAGCCTGATTCGATTAGTCTCTACTGCGATATGGTGCAGGAAGATGGTGATCTTCTCTCTAGAAAGCTGTCAAGGTAGTGTTCTAAAATCACTAATCAATTCTCTGTTTCTTTAATGGTCTCGCGTGAAAGTTAAATTCTTACCTCTCAAAAGGATCCTTACCATTGTGTCAAGTGACCGCTGGGACGAAACTAATGTTACATGTTGTGTTGTTTATTAGGTGTTGGAGGTGTTTTGTGAGTCAAAAGAAGACAACCTTGGAGTTGGCTAAGGATTATGATGCTTTGAAGATCAATGAGTCACTGCCGTTTGAGCAACTTGCGGTGCTAATTGAGTCGCCTGCTACTCTTAAAGCTGTTAACTCTTTGCTTGATCGCCTTCAAGTTCGCTTAGAAGCTTCTAAGAACGTCACCGCTGCTTCCCAACTTTCTTTAATGGATAACATTGATCACCTTCTTAGAAGAGTTGCAACTCCAAGGAGAAAGATGACGCCAAGCAACCTGAGGATCAGAAAAGGAAAGAAAGTCACTCCTGGTAGTAGGAGTG